TCTCCTGCCTTAATCTTACAGATCTCTTCGAGACCGTAGAGAGCTGTCAGTCTGCGAGAAAAAGTCATCATAAAGACTTAAATCCCATTTTCCTAGCAATATTAAAAGAATGGTCATGATCATGACCACCAGAGTAGACATACCCTGGCATGCCGATAGTCCCAAGAGTCAGAGACAGTGGCAGCTCCTTTGGCCAATCAGAGTGAATCAGCCTGAGGTCAGAGCCATCAGATAGAGAGCGTGTCCTCCAGCCACAGTTTGCAACCACATAACTACCCACAGGATACTTAGGATTTCTGCTCTGGACCACCCTAAAGTCAAGAGAAAGAGCGTGTTGGGTTCAAATTCTTTAATACAGAGAGGAAGGAATTGGCATGATTGGCAAGAGAGTGTCTGATTGTAGCCATGTATCCACCACAACTGTAGTGTTTGGGTGATTAGCATAGATATGAAGCTCAACACATTTCACTGAGAAAACAACTGAAATTTACCTAATATAGCAGTCCAAGGGCAGTTTTTGAATTTTGTCAGTAAGTGTTTAAAATGTGTGACTATACAGTATGAGGCAAATTCAAACTATTATGTATTAAAAGCCTGTTGTCCAGTGAACATTTCAAGTCAAGTCAAGTCAAGTGGAGTTTATTGTCATTTCAGCCATATACAAGTACATAGTGAAACGAAACAACGTTTCTCCAGGACCAAGGTGCTACATAAGACAAACACAGAACAACACAGAACTACAGGGACTACATAAATTATACGTAAAGTGCACAAGTGCAAACATGTACAGACAGCACAAGACAGTGCAATGACTACAACGCCGACCAGTACGCAGTTCTGTTTAAAAGTGATCTAGTGACACTTTTATTTATCCTTGCTCCCACGGTGTACTTAAACCTGTCATAGGACCAGTGGATTTGTCCACTGCGCAAGATTTGTCCAAGATTTAGGTACATAGCCAATGCTATGGGAGGAGTCTCTCCCTTTTTTTTTTTTATTCAATTGCCTCTGCTAATATTTTCCTGAGAAAATGTGTCAGTGTTTTGGCTGTGCTTGGTCCAGGAGATTTAAATATTTGCTAGAGGAAGGCTGTCTGTTACATTTTATCAGAATACTCATGGGACTGACAGAGATAGGAAGCCTGTTTTGGTTGCATAAGGGATTATTGTAGCAGCCAAATATAAAACAGTGCTTAACATAAGAGCAGTACAACTACAATAATTAGCAAATTGATGTGGTTAATAGGTTAGAAGTAGATTCTACAATCATTACATCAAACATAAAAGCTGATTCAACATTCTTAAAGGAAATTTCTTGCTAATTCCTCTTCTATTTAACTAAATAAGTTAAGGAAACATCCAAGTGCTTGGATATAATTCTATAATAATATAATTTCCTTAAATTTTAAATTCTGTATTTATTTCACTGTGTGTGTGTGTGTGTGTGTGTGTGTGTGTGTGTGTGTGTGTGTGTGTGTGTGTGTGTACGCAAACATTATACACTGGTATAAATGTATAAATCCTACCTGGACACTTGAGTTCCGAGCATTGTATCTCCTTCCTTCATTCTCGCACGACTGTACGGCCTGTAAATGAATGACAATAAATTACTGAAAATACTGTAGCGTTTATAACTAGACTTATAGACTTATATCAGTGCAAGTAAAATGGACCTCTACCGACCTCATATATGGATCCACACTTAAGAAAACAGCCTCCAGCAGTACCTCTGAAACAATTACAATACAAAAAGTCATTATTGTGTATGTATACTGTATGTTTGACTTAAACTTTTAAATTGCAAGTGTCAGGTCATCTTGTCAGACATAAAACTATTGTACAAGAATCAAAGCAGTTTTTTCATGATGGTCTTTTTTAGAAAGGATCTTAAAAAAGCTAAAATAGCTTTATTTATTTTTTTATTTAATTCAATTGGAAAGAAATGTTGTCAAGACTTGTCACTCACTCTAAATTTTAGTTGCCCGTTGTACGCCTATAATGCTTTAGACTTGTGCTTGTTTTGACCTTTTTCCCCCATACAAAACATTAGATACATCAGGATCACCTGTTAATATGAAAAGGTCACCACACTTGAATGAGAAATAAAGCAGGATGTCTTTAAGTCATTGAGGGCTGCAGCACTGTAGCATATCTTAACATTTCTGATTTAAATTATTCATCTGATTATTCATTAAAATAACAGTGCCCTTCAGGAAGGAGAGCTGATTCCACAGTAGTGCTTCTATGAGTAGGAACATGAATCTGCCTGTTTACTGTGAAAATGCTGACACCATGTGGTGTGCCTTTTTCAATACACAACTGGTGTGGCCTCATCCATGATATCATTTACCTAGAAGAATTCATTTAAAAAATAAATCTGTTCTTTCCATGAGAAAATCATGTAACTGACCATGAGAAAGTGGTTACTGAAGATGAATGAATGAATGAATGAATGAATTCACTTTTAGTCGCCATATGATGTTCTCTATTCCATTATCATAGTTGATTTATTTTGTGCCAGAGACCTCCATCTTGTGGTTCTGGCAGATTCTCTTCTTTCAGTTCAAAGTCACTGTCCTTGGGAAAGCCCTCAAAGTGCTTGCGAAGTATCCAAAACTTAGCCTGAACCATCGTCCTGGATTACAAAAAAAAAAAAAAAAAGAGATAGATTTGTTACATTTAGTGTAACTAAAATTTAAAAAAATTTTTCATTTTATTATTAATATTATTAAAAAAAAAAACATGACATGTTGTGCTATGAACCTTCAGTAGATTGAATAGATGAAATGTATTTGAAATGTGGCAGTAACAAATTTTCTTAGTGAATATTGTAGTTTTTGTGGGTTAAACCCTAAAAATAAGAAATAAGCCAAGCCAAAACTATGTTGTATTTGAAGCACATATTTTTATACAAGTTTTGACATGTTCTACTGCTAAACATTTTTCCAGAATTGTTCTATGCACATAATAAGTACAAGTCTAGACTAGATCTGAGCAATGTGATGATATAATATTGACATAATGTGATAAAATATGTAACAATAACATTTTCTGTTATATCATAGTTATCTTCAGCATTTACAAACTTTCTCTCCTATCTCTATTACTACACTGCATTCCTCTGCTTCTCCACTTTTGACACAGCAGATTCTGAAGCTTCTCTTGCTCCAGACTATGTCTGAATATCTCCTCTGTTTCATCACTTCACTAGTGACAAGGGTTATACCCATTCTAAAAAGCACACACTAGACACTTCAGACATTAGACTAGGCACTACTGACTGGTATCACTTATCTGTCTTTCTCACACAGAATGACCTCCAGAATCCTAAATAGTCTGGCTATAAAGTGACACTCTCCACAAATCTGCCAGTGTGGCTGTTACTGAGAAGCTTCATGTTGGTAGATCAGCTGGTCTGTCATCAGTCCTGACTTGTCTTGATCTCTTTGACACAGCCAGTCACAAGATTCTCTGTCCATCCACACACGACTTGGAGTTAGCTACCCAGCATTGCAGTGGTTTGCTTCTTACCTGAAAGGCCGGTCATATCAAGTGACATGGAGAGCATGTATCTGCTCCATGCAGACTCTCTACTGGTTTCCCACAAGGATCATAGCTTGGCCCTCTTCTATTTCCCCTATATACCCATTCTCCTGACAAGGCAATATCCTTACATAATTCGTACCACTTATATGGTGATGGCACACAGCTCATTCTTACCTTTCCTTCCTAAGACACTCATGTTTCTGCTCAGGTATCAGCATGTCTTGCAGGTATCTCACAAACCAGCAAACTAAATCACAGCAAAACTGAGCTGCTGTATATCGCTGGCGATGCATCCCCATGTCAAGATCTTGTCATCTCGAACTAGAACTCTCGAACCATACCATCTGACAATGCACAAAACCTTGTTGTGGTGTTGTGGTAACTACCAGCAAACATTCATCACTCATGTTGCTAACCACTCTCAGTCATGCAGGTTACTCCTATATAACATCAGGAGGAACCAACCTTTCCTCTCCACAGAGGCCATTCATATATTTGTTCAGTCCCTTGTCATCTCTGGGTTGGACTACTGCAACTTGATCCTGGCAGGTCTTCCCCTGCAAGCCATCAGACCCCTGAGACTAATTCAGAATGCAGCTACATGACTTGTGTTCAACCTCCCCAAGTTCTCCCCCATGTCGCAATTGCTATGTTCCATCCAGTGGCTTCCTATAGCCCACATCAGGCTTAAAACATAGATGCTTGCCTACATAGCCAAAAATGGGCCAGTCCCCACCGACCTTCAGGCATTTATCAAATCTTGCTCTGCACCACGTTCCCTTCAATCCTCTAGCACGACTTGACAAACTATCAATACACGAGGAAGACATTCATCAAGCCTCTTCTCTGTACTGACACCTAGGTGGTGGAATGAACATCCCCTGTCTGAGAGAACACCTGAGTCATGGTCAGTCTTCAAACAAAAACTGAAGCCACCTCTTCACTAAGCACTTAAATGAGCACTAAATATACACAGCTAAAAAAAAAAAAAAAAAAAGTGCGCTAACTTTCCCGTACTAACACTTGCA